ACATTTTTACTATTAATTTATATAGAAAAATTAAAATTGACTTTAATTTTATTAACTATCTAATTAAAATATTTCATGTGGCATTAGTGTTGAAAATAAAGTTTATTTTTAATAATTTTTTATATAAATTAATGCTAAAAAGGTACAATAATCTTTAACTTACATTGTTAGAGCATATATTAGATAAACTTTAACTAAAAATAAAATTGATCTTTAAATTTCTAATTCATGAAAAATGATAAACAAATATTATTGTGGAACATAAAGTTGTATTTTTCTAAAAAAAAATTTAAAATTGGGACATTAACTCATTCCAAAACATGCTACCCATTTCAGTAGGAACTTTCAATTAATTGTTTAACCACAGGAACTGTTCAAAATATTGCTAGAAATAGAATGCCTGAAATTGAAAAGAAAGGAGGCACGCCCAATGTTTTAGAGCCTGGCCCGGTGAATGATCTGTTTTGGTCACCGAATTTGGTTTAATTGCTTGCATTAGTCGAATTGTTTATGTTAATTGGTTAATTTAATAAATACTATTTAATTCATTTAATCAATTATAAATTACTTTTACTTTAATTGATTCTATCTTTAAAATTGATTGAAATCATTTTTATATTTACTAATCAAAGTAATTATTAATTTTTAAGACTTTATTTCTAAAATTTATTATTTTGAAATTAATTTCATTCATTAAATTTATTAAAATACATAATAAAGTTTTTTAATAAGCATCTAAAACATTGATATCATATTAATTATAAAATTATTTTTTCTTGTATTGATTTTATTTCTAAAATTGCTTGAGATTAGTTTTAATTTTTAATAAATTTCACGTAATTTTAATTTTAAAAAATTTCATTTATTTTATTATCTAAAGTAGTAATTGATTTTATTTTCAAAATTACTTAAAATTAGTTTTAATTTTAAATTGATTTAATTGATTTCATTATATAAAATAGTTATTTATTTTATTTTCAAAATCAAATTGATTTGATTCTAAATTAAAATCACTCTCTAATTTGAAATAATAATTTAATTTCAAATTATATTTAAATTAATTTAAAAATTTTCATTCATTAATTGTGATTTGATTTTAAATAAATTTTATAATTTAATTATTATATTATCTGTTAATAAAATAAATAAAAATATAAAAATTAAAGAAAAATGTAAAACATGTAAAAATGTAAAAAAAAAAAAAGTGTTGAATTGGTTCAAGTCATCAGGTTGATCGAGTTTGGGTGGATTTAATTAAATCTGAATAGATTTTGACAAGATTTGACTTCAAATGAATTATTATTATAATTTAACTTGTTATTAGAACTCGGCCGATTCAAGTAGTTGAACTGGCGAGGTCAAGTTGGATTTCAAATCAATGGGCATGGCTCATGAAGTGTGGCTCTCTCTAGACGTCAAGCTGGCCTCTTCATGGCTGTTTACTAAAATAGAAGTGTGGGGATGAACATGATATGGATCACTAATCTCCGGAGTACGATAACACACAACTCGACAGACAGCAAACGGCACGGTATGCGCCTGCCGAATACTGACCTCTTATAGGTTTTAACTTTTAATATGGTTTTTCCATTCCAATGTAATAAATATCCAAAAAGATAGATGGTTTGGGTTGAAAATATTAAATTTAAATCTTGAGTTTGTTGAAAAAGAATTAAGAGAAAATGAGGGATTATTTAGGAATTAATATAAGACATATTTATATATATAATTTTACCCCTTAGATTTATAAATTAATAACTAAAAATATATATAACTTATACATATATTTATGGCTATATTAGGAGTTTTTTTTTCTCAACAGTATTAGAGTTACAATGTTACACATAAAATTGTAAATTTATAATTATGACATTGTATTAAATAAATATGATATAACATTAAATTAGTAAATACATAAATATTATGAATGGATCCTTAAATGAAAATAATTAATTATATAATAATACATTATATTATAAGTTTATAATATTACGTGGCATTATACTTATAATATTTTTTTTATTTTTGTAAAAGTTTAATTTTAGGAGATCTTTTGCAACAATACTTTATCATGAATTATTAATAAGAACTTAATTGAATTAGTATTTACTATTTTGAGTATTAATATTAAAAATTTAAACTCATATAATATCAAGTCACTAACACTCAAATATACCAAATAAAAATATTCTAGTAGAAATTCATATCAATAATTACAAAAGGTTTTAGAAATTGACAAAATTTCATTAAATTCAGAAGCTTTACATCAAAATATTTATTCTAAAAGCTTAAATTCTAACATATTAAATGATGAAAACAACTTCAAAGAGGAAATATCAATTTAGGAGCTGGATTAAGTGGACACGAGCTCAAGCAAACAACTTGAAGATTCCTCTCTTTGTCTTTTTTTTTGGGTAGAGAAGCTTCCTCTCTTTTTCCCTTCTTATGGAGCTTTAGCAATTGGAGCCTTTCAACCAATATATTAAAGCCTGGCCGGGTGATAACCCATTTTGGTCACTGGGTTCAATTCAATCAATTTAACTGGTCAAGTTAATTGATCAACTTAATAAATGCCATTTAATTCATTTTATCAATTATAAATTATTTTTACTTTAATTGATTTTATTTTTAAATTTGATTGAAATCATTTTTATATTTATTGATAAAAGTAATTATTAATTTTTAAGACTTTATTTTCAAATTTTATTATTTTGAAATTAATTTCATTCATTAAATTTATTAAAATACATAATAAAAATTTTTTTTTAATAGTCATCTAAAATATTGATATCATATTAATTATAAAATTATTTTTTCCTTGTATTGATTTTATTTCCAAAATTGCTTGAGATTAGTTTTGATTTTAAATTGATTTCATTTCATTTTAATTTTAAAAAGATTTCATTATTTTATTATCTAAACTAGTAATTAATTTTATTTCTAAACTTACTTAAGATTAGTTTTAATTTTAAAGGAAATGATTTTTATACAACCATTTTATCTCACCTTTTTGTACAAGCTGATGTGCCATTTGATTGGTTCTTGTAATTCATGTAGGATCCGTGATATTGAATGCATCCACTCAATTAATAACAGATAGAAGTTGAATGAAAATGTGGTATAAAAAAGTTGTCCTTATAGCACCACCCTAATTTTAAATTGATTTCATTCATTTCATTATATAAAGTAGTTATTTATTTTATTTCTAAAATCAAATTGATTTGATTCTAAATTAAAATCACTCTCTAATTTGAAATTAATTTGAAATTGTAATTTAATTTCAAATTATATTTAAATTAATTTAAAATTTTTAATTCATTAATTGTGATTTGATTTTAAATAAATTTTACAATTTAATTATTATATTATCTATTAATTAAATAAATAGAAAAATAAAAATTAAAGAAAAATGAAAAATTTTAAATTTTAAAAAAGAGAAAGAAATTAGTACATATCAATACCAACTTTTAAAAAAATTAGAGTCCTAACTTATATTTAGAAATAAAAATCTCAATTCAAAATTTAAAAATATATCTTATTATATATTAATATTTAAATTTAAAAACTAGTTATATTAAAAAATATAATTAGTTTCTAAATTTAAATATTAATATTTAATAAAATAGATTTTTAAATTTTAAATTAAATTTTAATTAAACAAAATAACGTAATTTAAGATCAAGACTTCAATTTATTTTAAGAATCGAAATTGATATACACTTTTTTCAAAAAAAAAAAAAAAAAAAGAATTGAACTGGTTTGGGTTATCTTTTTTTTGTTTGATCAAGGGTTTGGGTTATCAGGTTCACTTGGTTTGGACAGCTTTGGCCGAATTTGAGCCAATTTTGACCAAATTTAACTTCAAACTAATTATTATCATAACCAGACCCCTTTTTAAAATTAGATATGCTTCAACAGGTTGAACCAACCAGATCGGCCAGGTTTCAAAACAATGCTTTCAACTAGACCTGGCAAAAATCCACCCGACCCGTCAACCCGACCCTAACCCGACCCTTAAAAAACAGGTTAGGGTTTACATATTTCAACCCGCAACCCGTAGATAACCCGTGTTATCAACCCGTACGGGTCACGAGTCGGGTTAGGGTCAACCCATGGGTTGACGGGTTGACCCGTTTGTTTTATTTTTTATTATTATTTTTAAATATTATACTTATCATCCTTAATTAATTTTCATATTGATAACTCCTTCCATTAATTCATACTCCCTAATTTCTAAAGAAAGAAGAAGAAATTATGATAAATTTGATCTAATTACCCAAGTATTATTATTATTATTATTTTTTGGTATTAACAATTACCCAAGTATCATGAATGAATGATAATGCAACTAAAAATATTAAAAGATGTGATATTAAGACATAAACATAATAACTTAGTGAAAGATGTTCTTGGAAGAGCAATTTTATCATTAAAAAAATGAATTAAACTACTTAATAATGTTTCAAGATAATTATAAAATTAAAACTTTATTTTTCAAGAAATTTAAATATTTTACGTTTAATATTTTTATTATTAATCAATTTATTATTATTTATAGCCTTTTTATTTTTTTCTTAATTTAAATGTTTGTAATTGAAATTATAAAGTATTTAGTGTTAATGAATCACAATATTTTAATTATATTTAGATATATATAATTTTATTTGTGTATAATAAAATTAACAAAAAAATAATTATAAAAAATGAAATAAGGTTAACCCGTGGGTTAACCCGTGGGTTAACCCGTAACCCGTTAGGGTCGAGTTAAGGTTGGATGTTTCCAACCCACAACCCGTTTATAACCCAACCCATTTAACCCGTCACCCGAGTTGACCCGACCCTAACCTACCCGTTTGCCAGGTCTACTTTCAACTGGAGGATAGTTCCCCATGTGGGTCCATATTGCAATAAATTCTGTTAGCAGCAAACCTATCATTATAGAATTCAGCAAAATTCCACTGTTCCATTTGTTATAAAAAGTCTGGGTTAGGAACAAGGGGGTAACAGAGCACCACTCTACTAAAGACAGAGCAATGAGGCCCTTAGATGCTGCCTTCTGCTTTCTATGTTTCCTTGTCTTCTCTCTATTGCAGAGCCCCAGCTCGGCCGCCAAAAGGGTAAGCATTTCCACCTCATTTCCTCCTGCAAATGAATTCGTTTGCGTTAGGGATGATTCTTCTTTGTTATTTTATGTGGTGTGTAGTCTTACGTAGTCTACATGGGTGCACATTCACATGGAATAGAACCATCAACGGCTGATTTAGAAAAGGCAACGGATTCACACTATGAATTTCTAGGCTCTTTCCTTGGAAGGTAAACAAATTTTCATATTCTTCCATGGACCGAGTAACATTGCACTTCTTAACTATTTGAATCATTAAAAAACAGTCGTGAAACCGCCGAAGATTCCATCTTCTACTCCTACACGAGACATATCAATGGCTTTGCAGCAATTTTAGACGAAGAAACAGCAGCTACGATAGCAAGTAAGGACATCCCCTGTTTCATCTCTGTTTTTCTCTGTTTTGTTGATTCATAACTCATATCCAATGCAGGGCATCCAAAGGTAGTCTCGGTGTTCGAGAACAGGGGGAGGAAACTACACACAACACGGTCATGGGAATTCCTCGGCCTGGATCGCAACCACGCAGTTCCATCATACTCGATATGGAACAAGGCCCGATATGGGGAAGATGCGATTATCGGAAACCTTGACACTGGTGAGATTTTTTGAGCTCTGTTTCAAGTCTGGTGTTTCCCAAACATTTTTCTTTGTTTTTGGCTGGAGATTTCCAATAGTTAATTGCGTCATGGATGACTAAAACACTGGATACAGATTGGATCTGGAATATAAAAATTAACTTTTTTTTTTTTGGAAGTTGATCCAACATGAAGTAAAGAAAGGTATTCTAAAGAATCTTTTCCGCCCAAAAAAAAACAAAAAGAAAGGTTTTCTTTCAAATGACGGCATTACGATAACAATGTAAACGAAAAGTATGACAATTTTTTTTGCTTTTGTTGTTTTTTCTTTTAAATATTCTAATCTTGTCATGGTGTTTACTTTGACTAACTCCATGTTCTTACAAGAGGATAACTCATTAAGGAATTATTGGTCATCGAGAAAATGATAGGTATCATTAAGGCATGGGCGAATATGAGCAACATTTTTAGGGTATTTTCTATAGTTGGATATAGTTATTTTACTTTTTAAATAAGAGTGGTATAATTTAATTGTCTTATTTTTTATTTTAATAATATATTAAATATTTAGATTTTAATTTTATTCATATCACAAAAGAAATAGGTTTGCATTAAAATTTTTTTACTTAATTATAAATAAAGGTGAAAATAAAAAAAAAGTTAAAATTATTATAATAAATAAATATTTTGATAATCTTAAATGAATAAAATACGACAATTAGATATGATTGAAGAGAGTAATAATTTGCTCATGTGGTGCATATTACATTAAGCAAATTGTGTTATTGTAAATGGTATATAAGAGTTAAGATTTATGTCAATTATCTAAATAAGTCAATAGTATTTTTTTTTTAGTAAAATTATGAAGTTTGAAGTTTCAATAATATGATATGTGAGTAAAATAAATTAAAAAATAATAAATAATTACCTTCTATTATATAAAATAAGGAAAAGAAAAAGTCAGATTTAATTGTTAAGAAGTCAAGTCTGCATTAGGTAGATATGTCAATCTTGATGTAAGAGTTGTTAGAGTAACCTATATTGGACCCAAATAGTAGCACAAATACTGCAGAATTTTTTATCCACTTGTTTCCATATTCGAACATGTCAATAGCAATAATTTCTCCTGTTAAGTAGCGTAAAATATTTTAAATTTAAATTATATGATATATAAATTGAGTAGGTTAAAAAAGGAAGAATGTTACTCCTTATTTGCAACCCTATATCACAAGGGGAAGAAAAAAATTGGACATCATAGTCTCCTTTGTCTTAGAAGTAAGGATTTTATATTAGGTCAGACACCTAGACAAACTCGAGAAATAGTTAGTAAAAGGCTCATCTCTAATTGTATAACTTAGCAAACAAAAAAGAGTAAATTTTAATTCAAGCTATTGAATGGTCATTGAGAAGGATTATTTAATAATTATCATGAGATCTATGATTTAGATTGATGGAACAATTAATCCAGTAATTGGATGTTCAAAATAATAACTATATTAGGAATCATAAACGGTGTAAAGTTTTTAATTTTTTATTTTCACGTGTGTATAATCGATCCCGATAGAATTTCAAGTTTTTTGTGCCACTTTTGTTATAATAAACTCAAAATACTTGAAAGAAAATTCAGATGGTAACAGAGAGTGATGAAAATGATCCAAATGAAATGCCTTTGCAGGCCTTAAAACATGCAGATAAGGATTGACGAAAAACAGAATATGAATATCTTTGTTTTCCTTTCCCTTTGTCTGTTCCTCCTAAAGGTTTTGACTTCGTTATGCATGCCTTTATTTTTCCATGGGATTCTGGTAGGTGTCTGGCCAGAATCAAAGAGCTTTGCGGACCACGGGTATGGACCGATTCCTTCAAAGTGGAAGGGAATTTGTCAGAATGAGAAGGATGCCGTATTTCACTGCAACAGGTCTGCCTCCCCAACCTCTGCCTCCCTCCCCGTGCTCTCTTCCTAATAATTTTTTCTAGTTTAATTTGATGGATACAAACTGACTCAAAATACCAGGTATTCACCTCACCCAAAAGAAATTAACTTGAAAAACCCAGGTCTCATTTTAGGTTACCTAAAAATTTAAATCTCCATAATATATTTTTTATTATTATTTTGGTTTACACATTATAAAATAATTTTTCTTATCTCTTAACTTATTATAGTTATATTAATATATAATTTAATTAAATTTAAAATCTTTTACTCTAACCTCAACGAGAGAAGAAAAGCATTTAACTCTTTTTGCAGATCCCAATAATATTTAGTTAAGTACACAGACGTCTTATCAAACAAGAATCTGTTAGCAAAAAAACAAACAAGAATCTGTTTTTTCCATTGCAAAAGGTAAAATATTCAACGCTTAAAGGAGCAGTCTTGAAAAAGTAAATTCATATAGAATATCTATTTTGTTGGGTTGCGCAATTAGATCAACGAGAATATCTTTCATTCTTTTTACTCATTTCAGCTGTGTGCTAAACAATTGGTACACAATATTTCCTACTTAGCCTTGCTAAATAGGTGGGTTGAGTCGGGTTAGGGTTGGGTCAGAACAGGTAATAGGTCAAAATGGATTGAATTAAAATAGGTCATGGATCAGTGAAGGTTGATCTTAATCCACTCATTACGAGTCACGAGTCAACTTATGGGTTAACCCAATTAAATTTTTTTTTTATAATTTGTACTTATTATCATTTAAAGAAAACTATTCAAAGATTTCAAAAAGAAATTCAACATCTTATAAAAAGAATTTTTTTTCCAATTAATTTAATATATACATGTTTATAGTTCTTTAGAATTATCTTCTCCACTTCCTTCAAAGAACAACATTAATCAAATTCAAGAATACCACACACTTATAAATCTCAATAGCAAAAAAAAAAAAAAAAAAGTAGCATGACAACCAAAAAACACAAACCCCATTGGAACATATTTGTTCTAGTCGTTGCTTTCAAAGAATCAATCAATTGAATGCATCTAAGCAAAGGACAAGATCAAGTAGAATTTTTACTTGGAATGAAGAGAAAACTAAAAAGTATAAGTAAGTAAACAACTTACCTTGAAGGCTTTAGAGAGAAATGTTGGTGACAAAGAGAGCGCTTGTTAAACTTGAAGGAGAAAGAGAGAAAAGGCTAAGTGGACGCAATGGTGACTTGGTGAGACTAAGATTTAAGTTTGAGATAATGTTAAAGACGAAAGAGAAAAGGTGGAGTCGAATCTTGAAAGTCGAAGGCTGTATGGACTATAGAGGTTGAAGAATATGATAAGAGTTTGAATTTTGAAGAGTTAGAGTCTTAGAGAGTATTAACGCAAGCAAGAATAGGAAAAGTCAGAAGGTGAGTCATAAGTGAAGTGGGATTGTTTTTATTTTTAGAAGATGATGAGTTAAGAGAATCAATTAGCTAATTAGAGAAAATTAGTCAATTATTAGAGGTTTAGGTGAGATTGGGAATTGAAAAACAAAATAAATAAATAATAAATTAAAATTTTTAAAATTTTTAGACAAGTAAACGGGTTTGACCCACTAACCCGATGGGTCAACCCGTTATTGACCCATGACCCGTCAGATTCTCTTAATAGATCATTAACGAGTCTCGAGTTATAACTATATGATCCTAACTCATTTTAAATGGACGGGTTAGCGAATTGGGTAAAAAATTGCCAAATCTATTCCTACTTATCATGAGTCCACCAGCTACTCAAGTCATGGGCATAGAGACATCATTACACGTGAAAATTATGTTCATTTGACATTTGAGATTTGAGATCACATCCTTAGTGCAAATTTTTTCACTCCCACGTAAGAGCCTAAATCAAACTCATCTAGCATACAAACATCATTACACCTGACTGATTCTTGTTTGTCAACAATTTTTAATTTTGAAAAATTATTTTATAATAAAATACAATCTGTAGTATAAAATAACAAATTTTTGTAATTTACAAGATTTTGCAGTACTGAAAAGTCATAGGATTCAATTTATACATACACCTTTTCTTTCTTTCTTTCTTTCTTTCTTTTTTTTTTTTTCCTTATACGAATAGAGAATATACAGAAAAATCACAAACTAGCTCAGTAGATCTAGCAACTAGCTTCAGCTCTCCTTTTCTTCTTCTTCTTCTTCTTCTT